GGAGCTGGGACAGAGTAGCAGTCAGCTCTGGAGCTGGGACAGAGCAGCAGTCACCTCTGTGTGCTGTGGGACAGAGCAGCAGTCACCTGTGGGGCTGGGACAGAGCAGCAGTCACCTGTGGGGCTGGGACAGAGCAGCAGCCAGCTCTGGAGCTGGGACAGAGCAGCAGCCACCCCTGGGGCTGGGACAAAGCAGCAGTCACCTCTGGGGCTGGGACAGAGCAGCAGTCACCTCTGTGTGCTGTGGGACAGAGCAGCAGTCAGCTCTGTGTGCTGTGGGACAGAGCAGCAGTCAGCTCTGGGGCTGGGACAGAGCAGCAGTCACCTCTGCACTGAGAGGCTCCTGAGAAATCCCATCTGTGCAGTCCTGCCCAGGGAGCTCTGTGTCAGGATCTGTGAGTCAGGAAGTGACTCAGGACAATAACTTGTTTCACTCACTTCCATTATCGAGTTTTACAGTTTTTTTTCTGGGTTCTGATTTCCCACCTGTGCTTGTGGTCCCCTCCAGACTAACACCTTCCCCCAGAGCAGGGTTGGTGGCTCACCCAGCTCACCTGGCAGGGCACAAATGGCATTAAAAGGCCCCCAAGGGGCAGCTCCATGTTTTTGGGAGTGGAGAGAGCAGTGTTCCTGCAACAGCTCTGAGTCATCTCGGCAGGGGCAGGAGGGCCAGGGCTTCAGCAAGGTGGAGATCTGCAATGTGCTCTTGCTGCCTGTCTTTGGGTGGTTAATAACTGTGTCTTGATCCAGCTCACATTTGAGTAATGTAATCCCCAAATCTACTCTGTGATAAGTTACTCCTTGTTCTTGTTTACTTATGTACACAGTGTTATCAAATACTGACTGAGTCTTTTTCCAGAGGTGGCTGTAGTGACAGAGGCAGAAATCTGAGTTTCATTTTCCTCTGGATCATGTCAGGACCTGAGTTTTAAGGGTTTTTTTCCCTTCTAGTAGGAGGTATCCCAGCCCATGGCAGGGGTTTGGAATTAGATGATCTTTAAGGTTCAAACCATTGTGTGATTTTGTGAGGGTTCCAGCAGTAATTCCCAACGCTCTCCCTCAGTTTGTGTGGAGGCTGCTTTGCTTCTCCCACTTCCCCACTCCTTTCTAGTGCCCAAATCTCCAGGAAGAGAACAGTGCCAAGCTTAGAGCTGTGCTGTTCACATGGTAAAATCATGGCAGAATAGTCTGGAAGGGGCTTCAGGCTCCAGTTCAGCTGG